TAAGCTCAACTCTACCGAATGGTACATCCCTCGACAATAACAGTACGGAGTCAACCAATCCGACCCGATGTAGAATACACATCCTCATTGGGCCTGACAATGGGCCCCCAGATCAATCCTGGTCATCCACAATTAGATACATAACCCTCGGAAAGTCCGCAATGACTGAACCATAACACATACCATCATCTGTCTAGCTTTGGCCACATCTTCATAGTCCACAACCATGAAACAATTTGTTTTTGAGAACTCCCGTTCTCCAAATCCCAATAACATAAGAATCACCAGATCTGATCTCAAATCCACCGCCCGAATGACTAACACATCTCTCACACACAATTATCCCACGAGGAATACTTCTATAATTATTCCCTGCCACATAGCAAAATCTAAATATCAACAGTCGATCAACCAGGTGAGCACCGCAACACCAATGAAGCATCCGTAAGTCAAAACACAGTGTGCCTTCTGAAATGTGCACTTCACTCAAGTAATACCAATCGGTGCCCACATCCAAATTCGTTTGTGCTGCATAAGAATTTATGATCTTCCCTTCAAAACTGACTAGTGACCTTGCACATGAAAATCTTGATCCCACACAACACACCACATCTAATATGCCATCCTAGGAAAAGTACGAGAATCTCATAATAAACTCTGAGTCACAAACAAACTACATACTCCATTAGCTAGGAACCTTCCATTTGATCTCACCAAGGAGAAAATCACAACACATAACATGATCCTCACGCCACCAAGAAATATACACCTCGAACCATGGTAGGAACCATCGAGAACTATTTTAAACCCATCTGCACATAACCCAGACATCAGAACTGAATCTCCCAAACCCAACCAAGCCACGCAGGTCGCCAAACCCAAAATTATTTCAACAAAGCACCTGTAGAGACTCACCACATCATGGGTACCCAAGGAACCAACCATACCTATTACCATACTGATCCAACCTACTACCAAGTTGTCCTATTGATCAAGCCCAACTATGCCTCCTAAGAGGTCTAGCAGTCGTTGCAAATATAATCCAGTTAACAAGTCCGGAGTCGAATCCCATGGGGAATTAACCTGCTAATTACTACCACTAGATTCACACAAATTCAAGTAATCAACCTTCAGAAATATAATATAATGTTGCTTACTAACTAAAGGCCAGGTAATTAAAAGCTGTAATTTTAATACTAACAATGCCAATGTTGTAGATAAGATTTGAAAGATCTAGGATTACGATTTCCCCTCTCGTCACAATCCTCCAAGCTACGTCTCATATAAATTCGCCTAGATATTCTCTACCGATCGTGGGCACTTTAGGTGACGTAATTCTCTTTCGAGAAAATACAATAATTTACTTGACGTATTCTTCTGAACTACGCTAGCTGGCACTAGTTTACCGCTCACTAGGATCTCACCAAGGTTTCGTTATTCCTAATCCCACCTTTAAACCCTCCGTATTGATTCCTCATATACGTTAGAAGTGATGTTGGTCAACAACTACCTAAATGTGTACCCTTTTTCAAGAAATACACACTAAATAGGCACAGTCGATTGAGGGCCCTTCAATCAACCATAATAATCATATAGTTGAACAAGTAGAGAAAGGTAAATGGAAAATTCATATTAAATGCAATGGAAAAATCATCTTTCAAGAGGTTCCATCAAACCCTAGATGGGAAGGTTTAGCTACTCATAACCATACTAACAATCATGATAATAATTGAAAGCATTAAAATACAGATTAAGGAAGAATGAAAAAGAAAACCTCTTATGATTCGATGCTTCTAAGTGTTCCCATCGCCTTTTTCCTCCCCAATAATCCCCCCGCCCCCCATGAAATATGTTTAGAACCACTTTTATACATGTTGGGGTGTGTAGGTTTGAAACTACCAAGTCCTAGCCGAATTAGGATGAAATCCGCCCTTAGCCGTCTCGCTTGGCGCCTGGCGCCAACCAGGACACCGAAAATTTCCACTATTCTGCCTTTGGCATTTTGGTTGGTGCCTGGCAACAACCTGGGCACCAAACTTATACTCTCTCTAAATTCTTCTGTTTTTACTTCACTTTGCACGCAAGCTTGCCAAATCACTTTAAATTGAATCATACACAAATGAACACCATTATTAAGCTCGAGTCACAAATATTTATACCAAAGTTAACAAGATTAAGGTATAATGCAAGGCAAATTACATGCGAAAACATGGATTTTTAGCCTAACATCACCTCCCCACACTTAAGATCTTTCTCGTCCTCGAGCAACCTAAAACCTTGTTAACCAAACAATGCATGCAAGACATCATATAATGGAGGAATATTTGGCAATTCAACACACTGCACCTATGACCATGGTTGATACCAACAATTGAGCCCTTGCATACGCATTCATACCTTTCCCAACTTTCACATGCCGGAATATTAGTGACCACTTAAAAACACTAAAACAACCTGCCCTTAACTACCCAACCTCAAAGACCGACTCGTCACCAATAAGCACTCTCAACATGTGCACTCACCCAACAAGAGATGTTTAATATCGTCACCTATCCGTCATGGACTCATGTGCCTCACCAAAGAATAAGAGGGTATTATGTCCATACATTCAAATATGCATTCGAATATAATTTAAGGACATCACATATATGAACAAAGAACCACTCACTCTCACAAAGAAATTCATATGCACTCCATGGCTGTACCATAGGCTTGCCCGTAGTGTATATGTCCACTAATCTAAGCTCGCAAAGTCTAAGATCAATTAGGTCTTTACGGGTTGTAATGTAGGCTAAGGGACATGTAGAATATATTTTGGGTATAGTAACTAAACCTCCTAAACACTTTAATGAATTACACTTAACTTTCAAATACACAATTTTCATGACCAATTCAAGCAATGCCACGAAATCATATACCACTTGGCCCTTCTTATTTAAGCACAACTATGCATTCACTAGCCCTGATCACAATAAATAGGAGGTGTATTTCTTTTTCTTTTTTTTTCTCTTCTTCAACACTCTCCATAAATTTGGGTTGCCCAGATAATGATTTTCCAAAACATACATGCACCTTTGGCCTTTTTATGGTTTCACTCAAAAGCTACCCCAACTCTCACCTTACTCTTCTAGCGACTTAAGTGTTTTCGGAGGTAAAGATTCGAAAAGATTTAGTTAAGAACAAAATGGGAATCGGCTTGTAATGTGGGTTCCAAAGAAAAGAATTATAGGCTCAAATGGGCTATCTACGGATAATTTTATATATGGTGGCATAATAGCTCAATGGACAATCGAAGAAACGCCTACATCATCTCTTAGACTCACAAAGCTTACTTATTTTGCTTCGACTAACACGCAGGGCAAGTTTTAGACAAACACAGAATAACATAAAATGTAATCAAAACCTCACATCACACATTGCACATGACCCCAGTCGGACGGTTCTATTCCAACTCTTAAGTTTAGGCAAGTAACACAAAGCCAAGAATTATTAAGCAATAAAGCACTACATAAACAATGAGTCAAGTAACTGAGATAAGGGGTCGCAAACATGCGATTCAATCTTTCACGGCATATTTTTCATTAAAACATGTTAGGAAGGCAATTTGCATGTTATGGCCTAACAATACTAGCATCAAACAGGTCAAAAGGCCTATAGGGCACTCAATTTTTGTGTTTCCTAAAAAATAAAAAATAAAATTTATCCTGTTCAAGTTACATCCCTTGAAAAAGAACCGATGCCAAAAGAAAAATCAAGGGGGGTTATTATCTACTATGACTAACTAAAATAAAAACAAAAATATTTTTGAAATTTTTCATTGGACCTTAATACCACAAGAAAGCTGTACAAGAGATCCATAATCGGGAATAGTAGAATTAACTACCAAACTAATTCTACTATACTACATTACTACTTCTATTAACTACACAATTAAAATCAAGAAGCTAGAATTAAAAAGAAGCTATAATCTAAAAATAAGAAGTTACATTACTATTAGGTACTAACATACTATAACTACTCATCAAAGGAAATTCCCCACCCCACACTTAAAAAGTACAGTGTCCCCAATGCACATACAACAAAAATATAAAACAGGAGGGTGGATAGAAGGAACTCCTCTCTAATACCCCACACTCACATCTTAGTGCCAACAAACAATGCTCTACCACTCAGACTTCGCCGGCCATCAACAATGTTCTTCCAATAATTTCATCGAACACTTGGTGCGCAACACGTTCATTCAATCCTTTCAAACCATTGGAAAAGTGTCATACCCTCCCAAATTAAACGAGGTGGCAAGACTTTGCGTTTTCCACCCCGTACTCAATTAACAACACCAAAACAACATACTATTCAATACACACTTGCCAACACTCTACTCTATGAGAAGTTGGGGGAGAAAGAAGAGTGAGAGATGAGAAAACACACAATAATACCAAATCAATAATTAATTTTAAAAAAAGAGAAGACAACAATAAATAAAACTAAAATAAAAGAAGAGGAAGAAAGACTCACCTTGTGCTTGAGAAAAGAAGAAGCAACGAGCGGGGGGGAGGGGAGAGAGGAACAGAATTCGGGGAGACAGAGAGAGAGAACTAGCGTGGGGGTTTGGGGTTTAGAGTGTGATGGGTCGGGTTGGTTGTTATGTTAGAAGTGGTGTTTTATTATTATTAGGTGGGGAGATGGGTTTGGGTCGGGTTGGGGGTAAAATGGGTAGGGAACTTACCTGGGCATTTTCATCCGTGCCTGGCACTGAAGAGGGCAGCTGTGCATTTTTTGATTCTTCCTTTGCTATTTTCCTTGGCGCCTGGCACCCAATTGGGCGCTGATTTTTTTTTTTTTTTAAACTAAATGACAACACGACGAAAATAAGAAAATTGTGCTGCCTCCCAACAAGTGATTGATATAACGTCGCGGAACGACGAATTGCAACATTACAATGGGTTGCCTCCCACGAAGCGCCAAATTTAACGTCACAGCACGACTCGGGCCATCCCTTATCAAGGATCCTTCAAGTACATGGTCGAGATTACTTTATCTTCCTCAACCATGCCTTGATAATGTATTAGCCTTTGCCCGTTAACTTTGAACTTGCGGAAGCCATCTTTTGATGCAATTTTTACGACTCCGACGTGATGCATCTCTATCACACGAAATGGTCCTGACCATCTTAACTTCAACTTGCCCGGAAATAGCTTCAATCTCGAATTGTATAGCAATACCACGTCTCCAGGTTTAAAATTCCGCTCAAGAATATTTTTGCCATGCATCATCTTCATTCTTTCTTTATATAGCCTTGTACTCTCAAAAGCATGGTAGCGGAACTCATCATGCTCATGCAACTTTGTGACTCTACGTGTACCCGATATTTCCATGTCGAGATTCAGCTGTCTTAATGCCCATAAAGCTCTATGCTTCAACTCTACGAGTAAGTGACACGCTTTCCCAAATACTAGTTTATATGGAGACATGTCAATTGGAGTTTTAAAAGCGGTACGATAGGCCCAGAGTGCATCGTCTAACTTTTTTGCCCAATTCATTCTTGTAGCATTCACGGTATTAGTCAACACTCTCTTTATTTCTCTATTCGACACTTCCACTTGCCCGCTTGTTTGTGGATGATATGGGTGGCAACCTTGTGGCGAACACAATATTTTTATAACAACTTTGCGAAAGCTCGATTGCAGAAGTGAGTGCCTCCATCAATGATTATTGCCCTTGGAGTGCCAAACCAGGTGAATATATTCTTTCTAAAAAAACTAATGACTCCCTTTGCATCATTTGTAAGGAGTGCCACAGCTTCCACCCATTTTTACACTTAGTCCACAGCTACAAGTATGTACTTGTTTCCATATGAGCTGACAAACGGCCCCATGAAATCGATTCCCCATACATCAAACACTTCCACCTCCTGAATTGAGTTCATGGGTATCTCATGTCGGCGAGAAATATTCCCGATCCGTTGGCATTCATCACAACACTTCACCTAGAGATGTGCATCTTTGAACAATGTCGGCCAGTAGAAGACCGACTCCAACACTTTCGCGGTTGTCCATACTCCCCCTAAATGGCCACCATATGGGGATGCATGACAGGCCTCCAAAATAAAAGATTGGTCTGTCTCGGGAATACATCTCTGGATCATGTTATCAACACAAATCCTGAACAGATAAGGCTCATCCCAATAATACGTGCGACAGTCACGAAAGAACTTTTTCTTTTGAACAAATGAAAGGTCATAGGGGACAATACCGCTCGCCGTGTATGTTGCAATGTATGCATGCCATGGAGCTACCTCAAGGCTCGTAGCCAACAATTGTTCATCCGGGAAAGTCTCCACAATCTCTTCCACCTCAACATTCTTCTCTGCTCCTTCTAGCCTAGACAAATGATCAGCCATTTGGTTCTCTGTTCTCTTTAGGTCATGGATTTTCAAGTCAAATTCTTGCAGTAGTAGCACTCATCGAATCAGGTGCGTTTTTGACTCCTTCTTATCAATTAGGTACCTGAGAGCAGAATGGTCATTATACATAACTACCTTCGAGCCTATCAAGTATGACCTGAATTTATCAAATGCAAACACCGCTGCTAACATCTCTTTCTCGGTCACTGTGTAATTTAGTTGGGCACCACTCAAGCTTCTACTTGAATAATAGATTGGATGCATGACTTTATCTTTTCGCTGCCAAAAACTGCTCCCACAGCATAGTCGCTTGCATCACACATCAGCTCAAAAGGTTTCTCCCAGTCAGGTGCCACTATGATTGGTGCACTCACTAGCCTATTTTTCAATTCCTCAAAAGCTACCATGTAGTTATCAGAAAACACATAGGGATGATCTTTTTCAAGCAATTTACACAAAGGGTTAGCAATTTTAGAAAAATCTTTTATAAACAGCCTGTAGAAGTCGGCGTGACCAAGGAAATCTCTTATGGCCTTTACGGAAGTGGGTGGAGGCAACTTCTCAATTAAACCTTAGCACGGTCCACCTCAATGCCCTTACTTGACACTAAGTGTCCCAAGACTATACCTTCATGTACCATGAAATGGCACTAGTCCGTGTTCAGTACTAGATTAGTCTACATACACCTCTACAATGCTTTTTTCAAAATCATAAGGCAGTCATCAAATGAGTTCCCCACCACTGAGAAGTCATCTATGAAAACCTCCATTATGTACTCTACCATATTTGTGAAGATGGCCATCATGCACCTTCGGAATGTGGAGGGAGCATTACATAGGCCAAACGGCATTCTCCGAAAGGCATAAATGCCATATGGACAGGTAAACAACATTTTTTCTCTATCCTACGGGGAAATAGAGTTCTGGTTATACCCCGAGTATCCATCTAGAAAGCAAAAATGGGGCCTCCCCACCAATATATCTAACATTTGATCAATGAATGGCAATGGAAAATGGTTATTCCGAGGTGTCCTTATTCAGTCTTCTGTAATCCATATAGATTCTCCATCCCATGACTGTTCTTGTTGAGATCAACTCGTTGTTCTCATTTTGCACTACAGTCATTCCACCATTTTTTGGCACACACTGAACTGGGATGACCTAGTTGCTGTCCGAGATGGGGAAGATGATTCTCGTATCTAACCACTTGATCACTTCTTTCTTCACCACTTCTTTCATGTTGTGGTTCAGCCTTCTTTGATGTTCTCTAGAAGGTCTGTGCCCATCTTCTAGTAGAATCTTATGCATGCAAAATGTTGGACCGATACCCTTTATGTCTGTAATGGTCCACCCAATTGCAGTCTTGCACTCCTTCAGAACCTGCAAAAGTTATTCTACCTGCACATCTAACAGACCAGATGACATAATAACAGGTAATGTCGAACTAGGTCCTAAAAAAGCACACCTTAGATGAGACGGTAACGGTTTTAGCTCCAACTGTGGTGGCTCTTCAATTGATGGCTTAGCTTGAGGGGTCTTTCTTTCTTCTAAGTGTAAGGGCTCAAATTCGAGCTCTCTTTTCCAATACCCTTGTCCTTCAAGGGCCAAAACCCATTCCGCCAAGTCCTCACCATCTACCTCTTCTAAGTTCATCAGGCAGGCTGCTAGAGGGTCTTTTGTGTTTAATATCTCATCTTCGTCCTCCAAAATCACATCCACAGCTTCAATCAGAGAGCAGCTAGTAAACTCACTGGGTCGCCGCATAGACTTCTGCACATTGAACGTTATTTCTTCATCGTTCAGTCTCATCTTTAGCTCTCCAGTTTCATAATCAATCATAGCTCTCCCTGTGGCCAAGAATGGCCTTCCCAAAATTATGGGAATATCTTCATCAACCTAGCAGTCCAGAATGACAAAATCTGCCAAAAACACAAACTTTCCAACCTGCACAAGTACATCGTCAAGTATACCTGATGGCCATTTCACCATTCGGTCGGCTAGCTGTAGTAACATAGATATGGGCCTTGCTCTTCCAATGCTTACCCTTTTATTTATAGACAAGGGAATCAATTTTATGCTCGCCCCCAAATCACACAATGCTTTAGCAAAAGCATAGATGCCTATTGTACATGGGATTGTGAAACTCCTTGGGTCGGATAGCTTCTCAGCTATGGGTCTCATCACGACAACACTATATGTCTGAGTTAGTGTAACAGTTGCCAAGTCTGGAAAGTCGAACTTGCGAGACATCAAGTCCTTCATCATTTTTGCATAACCAGGCATCTCCCTCAAGGCATCAATTAATGGAATGTTCACCTGGATCTGCTTTAACATCTCCATGAATTTCTTATACTGCTCATCCTTCTAATATTTGGCCAACCTCTATGGGAAGGGTGCTGGCGTTCGCTTCTTTCCAATGACTTTAGTTGGATCTTGCTGAGGCACTTTTTCTAATAGCTTCTCTTGCACATCCTCAACCTCCTTTGCAACCTCTTTTTCCTTGTTTATTTCCTTCTGGGCTGGCTAGATTCTTACTTTTATTAGCTCAATTGACTCATCTACCTCAATCGGTACTGGCACGAGTGTCCCAGTTGGTCGGCTTTAATGTAGTCTATTCCAAAATAAATGACACATTTCTAAATTAGGAAATAATTCAACTTTAAACTCTTTATTTTACCCATTTTACCCTTAATGAGAAGTTTTTATAACTACACAAATATCATGGCCCCACAAAGCTTTTACCCCTTGAGCTTTTAAGACCACAAGTTTTCAAAGAAACTTCATGCCAAGTCAAACTACTTCATCTAAATTGAAATGGAGGGAGTATTAATTACGACTAGAAGAATCACTTGAATTCGTAGTTTAGTCAGCTTTCTCGACTTGAGATTCATTATATTGAAACTCTGATGTTTGTAGTCTTATGTGTTACAGGTGCATGCCTAGAAACTCCTCAAGAACTGGTGAATTGTACGAAGCATTACCGGACCCTGAAAAAGCTTTCAAGGCACTAAATCAAGCAAAACAACAACAAAACTCAACAGAACAAATCGAACTAGACATGGGAGATGTCAATGACAATCAAAACAACAGAAATAATGCGAATGACCCGAATAATCAAGGTGTGGCACCTCTTGTGCCAGAAGCATCCTTGTATGATTGGGCACAACCCACTGCTGAAAATTTGGCAACCGTAGTTGCAGTCCCTCAGATACAAGCAGAGTGATTTCAAATCACAAACAACATGTTACATCTATTGCAGAATAAGGGACTGTTCTCGGGGTCTTACATTGAAGATCCTCAGCAACATCTAAAAAATTTCCTATCGATTTGTGTCACGCAAAGGCAACCAAATCTGATACCGGAAGCAATAAGGCTGCTGTTGTTTCCATTCTCAGTGACTGGAGAGGCTCAAACTTGGCTCAATTCGCTCCCTATAAACTCCATCACTACTTGGGAGGAATGAGTCAAGCAATTTTTGAACAAATTCTACCCACCCAATAAGATTTCCAAGCAAGTTTATGAGATATTAAGCTTCAGCAAAAACCAGCTGAAACATTGCAAGAGACGTTGGAGAGATTCAAAGGGATGCTGGTTAAGTGTCCACACCATGGCATTCTAGATAAGATGTTGGGACAAAGGTTTTACATGAGATTGGTAGATAGCTTGAAAGCCAACGTTGATGCTTCAGGAAGTGGAGCATTTTTTAGCAAATCATTCAGAGAGTGTAAGGTTTTGCTTGATAAAATGGCACAAAACTCAGGATGGATGACAAGGGACTCTACAATTACTCCGGTAGTTCACTCAGTAGATCTAGACCCAAACAACTCCATGGATGAGAATATGGCTACTATGATGACACAATTGAGTATCCTCACCAAAATGATTGATGAGTCAGGCCAAAAGAAGGTGCATATAGTTGGCCCGACAAATGGAGGATTATGCACACCATGCATTAACCAGCCATATGTATGCTCGTGGAGTAGTGAGAGTGACAATCAGAACTATCAAGAGAATATAAACTATGTGGGAAATTATGGAGGCCAGAGGCAAGGTGGTCAGAATTGGGACAGCAAAATCAATAGTACAGACTAGCACCACATCAGTACAATAACAACAATAATCCTGGAAAGTCAGGTTG